CAAAACCAATTCTGACTTCCTCTCCCTCTCAGCCAACCTCCAAACGACCCCTACCATTTGTCCAGTCGTCGGCCAACCCCATTGACTCCGTCCTAAGGTGTCTTTTCAGTTTATGTTGCTATTTTCTCTTAAGTGTCAAGAGTGTTTATTTGTAAATCTATTAAAGTTCATCAATAGAATTATTATTAATCTTGTTTTTTGGGCTTTTCTCCTCCGGTATCATTTAATATTAAAACTAGCACAATCCTAGTCCTATCTTAGGGTTCCCTAGCGTTTGTCTTACCCACCAATAAGAAAATTTTCTTTCCTACCTTGAACCACCCATTCCAAAACCAAACCCCAAATTCTCTTTGTTGATTTTCAAAAATCAGCAATCTCAAATCAAATTTTATACACCTTCAACTAGTTTCAGGCACCATCTTTCGCCTCCCAACCTTAAACTGTAGCCATGCCTCTAATGAGATATATGTCTGATCCTATTCGGGAGGAGATACGATGAGAGATCAACCGATTTTGGCGGTGAATTACAAACATTGAAGATGAAATCCAATTAGAGGCTGCCCTCGACCGTGACCAGAAAGGTTGAATAGGGGAACGAGAATAAATGAAGATGAAACAAAAAACACGACGTCATTTCCTACCAACTTACTACCATCAAAAGTTGCTGACTCTAGCTTCTGACGTGGAGAGACCGCAGCACTAAGCGAACAACCTAGCAGTGAGTTTTCCAACAATAAGTTTCATCCTTTCTAAACAAATTCATCACGGGTAAAACCCTATTTGAATACTTTTCATAACTTGTTAAAATAGTTCACAGACCGAAGAAACCTTAAAAGGGACCGACCAATCCACAGTAATTTGCATATAACATGATGTTGTTTGTGGTTCGAATGTGACAAATGTTGGTCATAGTCCAAAATTTGCAGTTAGGTTATGCTCCCCAATAAATAAATCTCCACAATTATTTCATCAGACTTCATCAAAAAACTCTCTTTAGAAGCAAATTATATAGAACTACTCTCACGAGGATCTTATTATATTAAAGGGTTCTCGATCCAATGTTAAAATGATCTCATTTTGATTGCTCCATTGAACCTCTTGTGTTTCCAGTTTGGTATCTTTTCCACGACTATGTCTGCACTACTTCAATCAGTCAACATTATTCTCGTTTGTTTAGATCTTTAAGAAAATCTTTATAGGTGGATGCCACAACAAATCATTTTGTTAAGCCCTCCGTGGCTATTATTTTAGTGCAATTGAATGTCACTGAACTTTTTCACAAGGAAATGTGGATTGAGTCTCCATTTTCCAAATATTACAAAAGATAGAATTTGAAAACAAGTCATCGTACTCCTACCAAATGTTTTAACATAAAGTCTCAAATGTTTTAGGACTCCTCCCAAACTTTGAAATACACTATTCAAGTTGCCAAATATTATACAAGAGGACCATATGGTGGAAGATCGCCCTTCTAACGCTTAAATATGTTCTTAAAACCCGGATGTGGATTCAATTCCTCTTGAAGAGAAAGTAGTTAACGTTTTTGTTTCTCCTAACTACTTGGGATTAATCACTTCAACTATTACTGAAATTATCACTAGGGTTGTCAAAAAAGCTCGTTGTTTGCGAACAGTTCGTGTTCGATTCGTCAATGAGTTCGTGTTCGATTCGTTCGATAAGTAAACGAGACGAACGTGAACAATTTTTTTTTCATTCGGTTAGTTAAACGCACCAAACACGAACAGTGATGCATTCGTTCGTGTTCGAATCATTATTGGTTGAAATATAAAATAATTTAAAATAATTATATATAAAAAATTTATGATATTTTTAAAAATTAAATTTTATAAATTATAAATATAATAATTTAATAATAATAATATATTAATATACTATATTAGTAATGTACTAATATAGATATTATATATTTATATAATATAAGTTATATAATTAATATAATATATTATTTATATATATTAATATTAGGGTTGTCAAACTGGCTCGTCGTTCGCAAACAGCCTGTGTTCGGCTTGTTCGTTAAGAAACGAACACGAACAGTGACTTCACGAACAATTTTGAACACAAGCTTATTTCAAACAAACTAAATTTCAAACAAACTGAACACGAACACAAGCTCTGTTCGTTCGTGTTCGATTCGTTTACACCCCTAATTATCACTGACAGTCAATGTAAGTATGCAAAAGAGCTTAGTCCCCTCCCACCGGTCAACAAAATGATGAATACGTATCACAATATTTTTTATTCTAATCAGAGCATTCAGAAAAGCAACTCTCTAGTGCATAAAAGATTTTATATTATTTATACCATAATGCGTAAAAACCTAAAATAAATTATCATCACTCTCATCTTTTACTAGGTTTCATGCTAAGACAAACCAAATGAAATTCTTGAATGTTTTTTTGTTTCCTAATAGTACTTTTCTTTTTTCTCTATCATTTCTCATTATAAATTTTTTGATGTATTCAAATCATTATCTACCCGATATATTTGGCTTTTTAATATATATATATATAGTAATAAGAGAATTTTCATACCCAAGAGAATTGATGGCGACAATCATATCAAAACGTGACCAACATTGACAACAAGCATAGAGACTTTGCCTTTTTTATCTACTAGGCAATGCATTACAAGGACATTTTCATGATACCAATTCAATATTTTCCTAATTGATTTAAATATTTTCGAGTATATCCAGTTAGGTATATATGTATGTAAGCATCCAAAATAAAAAAATAAAAAATAAAAAAAACCTCATACTAGCTAGAGATAAAAGAATTAGTTTAGATTTGGCTAAGCAAAGTTCTCATCTCATATTATTGCTTTTCTTAACAAAATCTCTCTCTATCTCAGACAGTCACTCTCAATAAGCCTACCCTTAAAACTCCTCCCTTCCATAATTCTCTCTCTATTTGATTGCTCCATTGAACCTCTTGTGTTTCCAGTCTGGTCTCTTTTCCACGACTATGCCTGCACTACTTCAATCAGTCAACATTATTCTCTTTTGTTTTGATCATTAAAAAATCTTTCTAGGTGGATGCCACAACAAATCATTTTGTTAGGCCCTTCGTGGCTAGTATTTTAGTGCAATTGAACGTCGCTGTACTTTTTCATAAAGAGATATGGATTGAATCTCCAACTTCAAATGTTACAAAAGATAGAATTTGAAAACAAGTCATCGTACTCCTGCCAAACTTTTTAACATAAAGTCTCTGAATGTTTTAGGACTCGTCCCAAACTTTGAAATACACTATTCTAGTTGCCAAATATTGCACATGAGGACCGTATGGTGGAAAATCACCCTTGTAATGTTTAAATATGTTCTTAAAACCCAAATCTGGATTCAATTCCTCTTGAAGAGAAAGTAGTTAATGTTTTTGTTTCTCCTAACTACTTGGCATTAATCACTTCAACTATTACTGAAATTATCACTGACAGTCAATGTAAGTATGCAAAAGAGCTTAATCCCCTCCCATTGGTGAGCAAAATGATGAATATGTATCACAAAATGTTTTTTATTCTAATCATAGCATTCATAAAAGAAGCTCTTTAGTGCATAAAAGATTTCATATTCTTTATACCAGAATGCTTAAAATCTAAAATAAATTATCATCACTCTCATCTTTTTACTAGGTTACATGCTAAGACAAACCAAATGCAATTCTTAAATCTTTCTTTGTTGCCTAGTTGTACTTTTCTTTTTTTTCTCTATCATTTCTTAGTATAAATTCTTTAATGCACTCAAATCATTATCTAGCCAATATATTTGTCTTTTGGAAAAAAAAATATTTATAAGAGAATTTTCATACCCAAGAGAATTGATGGCGGAAATCATATCAAATCGTGTGCGCAACATTGACAACAAGCATAGAAACTTTGCCTTTTTTTATCTACTAGGCAATGCATTACAAGGACATTTTCATGATACCAATTCAATATTTTCCTAATAGATTTAAATATTTTCGAGTATATCTAGTTAGGTATATATGTATGTAAGCATTCAAAATAAAAAATTAAAAAAAAACTCAAACTACCTAGGGATAAAAGAATTAGTTTAGATTTGGCTAAGCAAAGTTCTCATCTCATATTATTGCTTTTCTTAACAAAATCTCTCTATCTCAGCCACTCACTCACAATAAGCCTACCTTTAAAACTCCTCCCTTCTATAATTCTCTATCTACTCTCTTCTATTTTCTAGCTCTAATTCTCATAATCTTACCTCTCACCCCTGCATATTTCATCCAATTATTCTCCGTATAGCAGCCTTACTTCAAAATCCTGCCTTCTCATCCTCCTCTTTCTAATTGTAGAATGTTATTCTCCATTGGCCACTTCGTCAATTTCTGTCTAGTTTTTTTCTTCATTTCTTATAAATAATGTAGGCAGATTAGAAATAAAAAACACTTAACTTCCAATTCTGCGCTAAATAACCCATTGATTTCTCCATCATATTTGAAGAAACTAGAAATAAATAAGCAAAAAATTTGGAAAATTAATGGAGAAAAATAATCTTTTTTTAAGAAGGGTCGAGGAGCAATAAAGAAGAAACCGAAGATGTCCCTTGATTTAGTTGGCAAAGATCATTTTTTGCAAATATAGATTTTCAAAGGAGAAAAAAACAGAAATAGAAAAAAAATGTACTAATAAATGACCAATATACATGAATAGTGGCGTTTACGGATAAATACGAAATGTTTTTAGGGCAAAAAAGCCTTTTTCAATAGCGGAAGTGGATATAAGTGTGTTTATGTGTGTGTGATGTGTTTGTGTGTGTTGTGTGTGCGTGTTGTGTGTGTGTAATTAAATTCAAACAAGTAGAACCAATAAATGTAGGTATTTCAGCATCTTAAGAACAAAAAAATAACAAAATAATAATAATAATGCCCAAGTAATTACAGAAAATAATGTGACTTGAAAATGTTAAATAAGAAAAGCACATAAAATTCGAACTAAGAAAAGGAATCAGATCATGAACTAACCATAACATACTGCCTGAGTAGTATGTTTAACTCTTCCAAACGGATGCCCTTTGAGAAGTCCTGCAAGATATGCGCATCATATGAATTAACGTTTACGATTCTCCATTAATTGGAAAAATCAACATTACAAGGCTATATAACTCAATTAAGAAACATGTTAGCCAATAATATTTACCCTCGATTAAATGTCATGAACATCATTTCCAGTTTTAAATAACAAAGCAAATGCACACCAACCCAAACATGGGAAAAAGATAAAGGATGTTAAACTCATGGCAATTTTCCTCAAATTTACCAAATAGGTTGTAGATGTATTTAAAAAAAAAGTAAGTTTTGTTTAAAATAATAAACAGCACAATGCAAAACGAAGAAAAACATTTGCACTTTACTTGTACGCAAGCTACCTGATAGAGCTTCCCTTGGAATCCCTTTGCAAGCTTTGCCATACAATACCTTTTTGCAAATTCGTATTTGTCATTTCCAAGTAAACCAGGCCTACAGTGGATAATAACAAAAAATTATGCGAGCAATAGTTCATTATCAAGAAATAGTATTTATTAATGCCTCCCCCAAGATTTGGTTAATTACCATACAGCCTCCACAAATTTGACAAAATTGTAAATACCATCTTCAGGTAAACTTTGCATACATTAACAGTTTAAACAAATGGCAGTTTAGTAACTAGCTTACAAAATTAAAAATTTAAACATAAATTGCTCGCATAAACCTGTAGCTCTCACACAAGGGGGACCAACCTAAAAAGGAAAAATAACTTCAAATATTTTTTTTTATTTGCAAATGTATTGTGTTTATATTTTTCACAAAAAGTAAGAAAACTTTAAATTGTTAAGAATTTGTATATTTTATTTTATACATTAATAAATTTAAACAATATATATGCTAAAATTTTCATATTAAGCTATAAATTATAAGGATATAATTTACAATAATAATAATAATTCTAGTAAGAAATTAATCAAGGTATACTATTTCACTTTCCACGATTTTGATTCATTAAACTTTTGATGCTAAAAATTTATAATTTCTGTTCAAGATATGCTTGAATTTTTAAGTTTATTTAAATTTTTTTAAAAAATAAATAATAAATAAATTGTTTTTATATTTTCTAAAAACATTGGTTTATATGTATGTTAATTTCAAAGCCTAAATTATGCACTTACCTTAGTCTTAGAAATTTTTTTTATTACATTTTAAATTAATGACAAGGGTTAGCAGATAGAAATGTCAACCCAATGGAAGTATTGATAGTTTACCAAATTTTGAAAGGATCAGCTAAAGGCAAATGATAATTACATAAGAACTAAGGGACATATCGCACAAATTAAACAATATCTAGAGTTGAAAGTATAGCATACCATAATATGTTTACTTGATGATAGATGTCAAATGGTCTAAAATCACCTAGGTGAAACCAAACAATAATTAGCGTTGCATTAACATTGACACATCTGGTTGGAGATCATGATGAATAATATAAATACAACAATCTAGAGGGAAGCAATAGCAAATAGAAGCGTAAATAGACAAAAAACGTGCATAAATGGCTACTTCACAATATAAGGATAGGAATATGGATAACCCCACCTCAAACAAAGCATTGGGAAGAAGAATTAAATTTGTCGGTAAAATCATCCTCCATCAATCAACAAGCTCATATAGATCAATTGATTCCAGCACGAAGAAGCTCTATGCGAACCAAAAAACTCAGGGGAGTTCATTCTCGCAGATATGAACTCTCGCAAGCACAAGTTCAAATTCGTCAATCAAATAAAATTAAGAGTTCAAAAAAACAATATGCAAGTTTTCACAAAAAGGCCATATAACTTGCAACATTCATCAACCTTAGTATTAATTTTACTAATCATAATTGTGAATCAATCCTCATCTAGAGTTCGCCAGCATCACTCATAGATCTCACTAGATCACAAAATAAGCACTAGGCCATCCTTAAAAATGTCACCGACTACAAACACAGATTTCCAAGGGCTTCCATTTAGAGGGTAGTGCTTTATCTAGAGCATCTTCAAAGCAAAGTATGTTGTTCATATGCAAAGGAAAAACTCACTTTTTCCTCAAAATTTTATTTACATAAAGAGCCAACCTTTCCCAATCAAAACAACTATTGGTAGTAAGTCAAATAATAAAAAACCTAATAAAATGAAATCAACATCCGACATAACCTAACAATAGTTAGTGCACTTTGACGTGTGCATGAGATGAAGGACAACGAGATCTTTATCAAAGGCAAAAAAAGTACAAGACGACTAGCACCTATAACTTCTTGACATGGATCTCAAAGATGTCAAAGATCCTTCCACGGAATCTTACAAACAGAAAAATATTAGTTGGCACGAAAAAAGAACCTTTAAGCAAAATATTAATTATCTTCACACTAGGCAATAGCTTGATCATAATCGTGGATGAAGTTGATTATATATGAGCCAAGCCAGCAACATAACTCTCAATAGGTCTCAAATAAGTGCATCATTTCAAGTAAGAAATAAGGAATGCTAGCTTAAAAATAGGCGTGAGCTGATTGATGATGTTTTAGACTATGCTGGTGACACTTGAATTGATTACTACTAATCAATTCAAGTTGAACAGGTAGATTTATCAGGTAGAAGAGAAAAATAATTCCATGTTGTCCATAGCTGTCAGCACGCATCTATTTTTAACTATGAAAATATAACTCATTCATTGTAGTCGCTTGCAAGCCTATTGAGGCTATATAACACTTATTGTTCTTGTTTGATGAAGAGGGCTTACAAGGTGGGTTTAAAGCACATAGAGGCAAACTTTGGTCGAATGCACCCCAACTCATATCAAATCTGGCATGGCACAACCTCCATTTTTTTAATTAGCGTCTGCCTTTCCTATGTTTAAAGCCTTCCTCACCTAAATAGGACCCAAAGTCAGAATTCAATTTAACCAAACCAACTTTTAATGCTATAGTATTGAATGGACAGAATTGGAAGGCCATCCTCTTCAGGTAGATTACACTAGATTTAGTTTTTATAATTTGCTTGATCATTATGGAATTATACTATGAGTGAGAAAACTCAGAGTAGGCTAATGTTGTTGCTTAAAAAATTTTGAAGGACTTCAAATTGGCAAGTATATCAACGCCAATTCTCCCTCAACCAATATAGAACATAATTGGCATGTGCCAAGAATAAATCCAAGGTCAAGTATCATTTGAGCTTCACAATTCCACTCACCAAGTGTAGATTGACAAAAGTCAGGTCTGTAGCCAAAAAATCTCCTAGTCGCAAGTGCATGAATGTGGAGAACATGGTTTACTAAAGCCTTCGACTTTAAGAAGGCCTAGATCATTTTCTTGACTATCAATTCGTATCTTTAAACATACAAAATTAAAATCATAAATTCTGAAAATATTAGAATTCCTGCATAGAGATAAAAAATTAAAAAAAATTAGGAAGAAGACCTGAAATAGTTAGGATAAAGCGGTGATGAAGATGAAATTACAAAGGGATAAAAATATTTGCACATATTTTATAACAATCTAGGAATTTTTATTTTATTTGCATTAATTCCAAGTGTTCTGATCATTTCGGGGAATGAGTAGTATATTTGGGATTTTCACTAATGGCTAAAACCCATCAGGTTAAAAATTCATTTTTCTTATGAAGAATCATTTCTTAAAATAGTGTTAATTGCAAAAAGCTCGTGATAGAATATGAATGAAAAGAAATGCATAAAAATGTCAATGGGAGTCATGAAGATTTACAAAAATAAAAAATAAAAAAACTGAGTTTCGAGAAAGACTAACTTCACTTTGAAAATCCCAGATTCCAGTAAACATTTACAGTACATACACTTGGAGGCACATATTTGATCAAATGAAATCTCACAAAAAATAAAAAAGTCGTAGCTGAATTTCAGAACTGATAGTTCAGATACAACCTTGTCAAAGAAGGTGTCCCCGAGAGTAAAATAATTCTATTTATCTTTGTCGCCATATCAAGTACAGTTTTTGTCTGCCATAAAAGAAAGGAGAAAAAGCTTGATAATTAAACAGATCTTGATAGAACAATTATAATCCACGTACACACAGGCATGCATGCAAAAATTCAGAGACAAAAGGGCCTGTGACGACAAATAATGAAAAGAGCATGCAGCACCAAAATTTGAAAGTATGGTATACAACAAAAATAAGTATTGAGCAGTATATCTATTGATGATCAGAGTAAACATCTAGAAAAAAGATAGGCAGCATGATTATTAATAAGTTGATGGGAGCAAACAATCATCATTAGCCTCATGGCCCTTATCCAACTATTTGGGGTTGGCTTTAAAAATGCACAATTTGCATTCATTCCTACCAAGTATAGCCGTAAAAGTATTATTTGCAAACCATTTATATTTATATTATTTTATGTCCATTTCCTTCTTTATCCTATTACACTAATGTTAAATATATGTCTAAGAGGTGCAATTTTATATATATGCCCTTTGATATGTGTCAAAAATTACCTAAGTTTAATTTCGACTACAATATATTCAACAAATGTTTCTCTAAATCTTTTTCTAAAATAATCATTCCTTTATTTACATTCCTAAATTTTTCACATGTCAATCGTAACATTCTCTATCAATCTTAGATGTTTTGATTACGTTAAATGCTTACCATCTGATGACTTTATTAAAAGAGTAGTTGTTTTAAATTTGACTTATGTTAAGAAAGGTAGGGGTAGACCAATAAATACTTGGGCATGTATAAAAAACAATCTTAATTTATTAGAATTAAATGAAAATATGACACTCAATAAGTCGCAATGAAGAAAAATGATTCATGTAGCTCTGATCCTACTTAGTGGGACAAAAACTTATTGTAGTTGTTGTCAATATTAACACTCTCGTTTTTTACACACTCAAATTAGCTATATGATTTCTTTATTGTCCAATACAAGAACCCATATAACAAAGAAGACATAATTAAATATTTATAAAATTGATATCCTCTAATCATATAATTATCTCAAAAGATTTTTTTCTTTCATACAAACTCAGGTAATATTATATCATAAGAGAGTGCATCGAATCTTTTAAATACTAAAATTTTTACTATGTTATCTCATGATGTTCATAACAAGAAGAAACGGGAAAAAAGAACTACGATAGTGGTACTATTTGAAATTGTATACTCGCAACAAAGGACAACTCAAAAGAAAGGGTTTACGAATCCTTTGCACTACCCAGAATCTGGGAACCCATCAGGTAATGTCCTCATAATCCTCTACCCCATATTCAATCCACTCCATCTTCGAGTTATGAGCCCTCTAGTTATGAATCTGAGCTTAGTTTGAATCCTCAATCTAAAGAGTCTAGTCTTCCAATTTAGGAAAGTTGTTGCACCCAACACTCATTGTCTCATTATGTGTCGTATGAAACTAACTCACCCATTTTACATGCTTTTACTTCACAATTGTAGTGTATGGAGACTCCTGGTACAGTGCAAGTTGCTATGAAACTCCCCAAGTGAAAAGAGGTTATTTTATTTTCTATGAGATGAACATAGCCCATTTTTTTAAGAGATAAAGGTTCTTGAAAAAAATGACACGTAAGAATTGATTGATCTACCTATGGGAAAGACAAATGTAGGGTGCAAATAAGTGCTTCCAATCAAGTATAATTCTTAAGGCTCTACATAATGGTACAAGGCACGATTCAATGCCAAGAGATTCACCCAGACCTATGGCATTGATTATTTAGAGACATTCACCCCAATTACAAAAATTAAACTTTGTAAGCATTCTTCTGTCACTTGTAGCTAATATTGATTGTCCCCTACAACAGCTGGATATAAAGAATGGCTTTCTCAATGGGGACTCTGAGTAAAAAATGCATATGGATACACCTTCAAAATTTAGTAAGAAGCTCATCACAAAGGTGTGTAAAAAAAATTCTTATATAGGTTGAAGCGGTCATGGAGAGTATGGTTTGAGAAATTTACACTATTTGTTAAAGGTCATACTCAACAGCAGGGAGATCATAAAATGTTCTTCAGACATTCAATGATGGGAAGACAGTCATATTGATTGTGTATATCAATGATATTATTCACACCATAAATGATGCATGTGAGATAAACCGTTTGAAAACTTCCCTATCATTTATTTTGAAACTGCGGACTTAGATTTCAAAGGTAATTTTTTGGCGTTGAGCTTGCTTGATAAAAGAAAAGAATTGATGTCTCCTAACGGAAGTATGTTCTTGATATTCTCAAGGAAACTGTGATGCATGGATCTAAATCTGCAGACACTCCAACTGATCCCAAACAAAAACTGAGAGATGGGAAGGAATCCAGTGAATACAATTATGTATCAAAAATTGAGGCGAAAGTTAATATACTTTTCACATACGCGGTGAGAAGTTCTCTTTGTTGTCAGTTAGGTAAGTCAATTTATGCATTTACCCTACGAGAAACACCTTAAAACAGTCTACAGAATTCTCAGATATCTAAAAGTTAGATCAGGTAAAGGCTTGTTCTTTCAAAAGAAAACACAAAATAGCATAAGGCATACATTGATGCAGATTAGGCAAGCTCAGTTATTGACAAGAGATCAACTTCTAAATATTGCACCTATGTGTGAGGAAACCTAGTTACATGGCAATAAAATAAAATGCAGTCACAAAGAGTAGTGTTGAGGGAGAATATATGGTTATGGCTAATGTAGTATGTGAGATGTTATGGTTGAAAAGAATTCTTGAAAAGTTGCAGATCCCGATAAGCATGTCAATGAAGTTATATTGTGAAAATAAAGAACACAAGCACGTGGAAATTGATAGGCATTTCATAAAAGAGAAAATTTATTATGGATTTATTTGTACGTCATTTATCCCTAGTGCTCAGCAAATAGTAGATATCTTCACCAAATAATCGTTCAGGCCTAATTTTGAGCTCCTTTTAATCTTATATTATTAGTATTTTCTATTTTTAGAATTCAGATTATTGTTATGTCATAATTCACATTTTCTTCTTTGGTCATGGGAAGTTATGGGTGATATTATTGTTTTCCTGGTATGGGAGTCATTCCACTTTATTTAACTTGCAATCGATTTCTATGAATTTGAAGAGGACTAATTATTTTTTCCCTCCCAAAACCTACAATTATTTTATATATTTCTTATTAAAAACTCATGATTATATGAATACAATAAATGTTGGTATGAAACACTCAACTCTTCTTGTAAATCCTAAATAGAATTAATTCAAATAAATTGAATGAATTTTAGTAGTCTATCCCAGACAAAAGAGATGATCCTGTCAATGATTTCATAATATGCACAAGAATTGCATTTTAAAAGTTTTATTGTTGAATGCAAGACATTATGCTCTGCATTAACAAAATTTCAGTTGATTGGACCTTGGAATGTACAGCATGTCCACTTTTAACCAATTGATAAAATGGCAGAAGTGTAAACAGATTACTTGTCATAAGATGAGACTTGCATTCACATGTAAGGGTGTCAAATCAGGTCCACGAGTTGATCTCGTGTCAGACCCAATGTGAAATTGCTTAACTCAAACCTGATCTGAATATTAAATGTGTCAGAAAGTTCAACCCCAAAATGACCTATCTTCAACCTACAAACCTGAACCTGACTAGTATAAACCTTTTAATATGAGTCATATTAGCTATTCAAGTTGATTTAAGGCCAAATTAGGGTTGATTTTGGTTGACCGCTCAAATAAGAGTCAATTTCAGGTTAAGGTATAAATTCCGGGCTGAAGGGTCAACCCAAACCCGACCCGATAAAATAAAAGAGGTTAGGATTCCTAATCTGAACCTGACCCAAAAATTATTCGTATCAACTTGAATAAAAAATTTTTAAGTCGAGTTGGCGCGCCGGGTCATTTTTTGACACTCTAAACCACATGGCAGATAATGTAAGCAACTAGGCAAGGGACATAAACAACGAGGCAATGTAGAACATTGGCGAAGAAAAAAAGTCGACAACGTATACAAAAATGATGTAAAATTCTCCAATGTAGCGACCGCAAATAAATAAATAAGCATGATTAGAAATCTCCTCATGGCTTAGATGTTTTGTTTAAGAGAAATCAATTTAATAGAACCTAGCTCGTTAAAGATTAGAAGGTAAATACTCATATTTCTTGTAGATGGCATAGTTGGAATAGAATTCGCATTTTGAATAATTTAAGTGCTATGTTATAACCCCAGATTATTGAATGATGTATAATTTTGGAATCATAATATTTATTTTAGCCTTTAAGGGCTTGATCATGCAATGAAACTATGATATTATAACTCATACTTTTATTTAAAATAATAAATCCATCTTCAAAGCATCATCTATACATAAATTAACTCATCATTAACCAATATATTTTTAGTAAACACAACATGGCACATATAAGGTCCATTGTGGTCTAAGGTGAAAAGGCACCAACTCACATTTGGCCTACATCCCCTATTGGCACAATGTGGCTTAGGACATATTTTTATTATTGTCTGAGACTGAAGGTGTAAAAGTATTCAGTGCACAAGCTTGGTCTACATCCCCTATTGGCAAAACAAGGCTTAGTTCATATTTCTGTTATTGTCTGGCATGGAAGGTGTAAAATTCTTAAATGCACATATATATTAATGTCTCCATCTAGTATCAAAAGAAGATCCATATCATAATGTTAACATACACATGCATTTATTTTTATATAGCATATACATTTTGTTCCTCTCATTGTGTGTTTCATGAAACAATCATAGAAGGCTTGAAGTATATGGAATAATAAGCAATATTCAATTCAATATGAGAATTAATTGTGAGGGGAAGAAAAAATCAACATAGATAACTATTTATGATATTGATCATGTACTAATAAAATCATTAGTTAATACCTTTAAGAAGCCGTATAAATCAGTGCTATAAATTTAGAAAAAAGGAATTCAATACTAAAAAATAGAAATGAAATTACTAAAGTCGAGAAGTAAAAATAGACAAATATTATTCC